ACAAACCAAGAATGCAGCTTGTCACATTCTGGACAGGCAGGCGAAACATGCCAGTCGGCATTCTGGACAGAGTTCTTTCGTGCAGATGGTGACAACATTTGCCCATAATGTGTTCGGGCAACTACATAGAATCTTAAAATTGTCCCCAGTTATATCTGGCGCTTCAGGCTTCTCTATGCAATGACCCTGATAATCAGCCGCATCTTAGGATACCATGCTAGTAATTAGATTAATCGTTGTGTCCTTAATAGTCTATAGACTTCCAGAGACTGTTCTCTCTTTCTACAACACGACGGTGGTTCGAAAAATTTTCCCTTGGATCACCAGCCTTGACGAATATTGCCGAAGTTCTCTTTTCATGATATTTCACCACTTCTAAATGTTTCAGCGGAATTCCCATCGATTCAATCTGGAATAGAAGCGCAAATTAAGGCCGATATGGAACGAATCGTGCGCGACGAGAAATACATCCGTGACCAAACAGCAGCTGTGGATCAAAGTCTCAGGAGGTAAATGATTTGGCGATTGTGTCTCACACAGTAGTTGAAAATGGATCACTAAGGTGCAAAGCACTGGCTAACATCATGGTGACGATGAAAAAACTCGCAATGGTGCAAGATCCCACAATCCAACGGGCTAAAAAGGTACGTAGAGAAATTTTGTTCAGGCTTAGGATCGTAAAATGTTTCAGCGGAATTCCCATCGATTCAATCTGGAATAGAAGCGCAAATTAAGGCCGACATGGAACGAATCGTGCGCGACGAGAAATACATCCGTGACCAAACAGCAGCTGTGGATCAAAGTCTCAGGAGGTAAATGATTTGGCGATTGTGTCTCACACAGTAGTAGAAAATGGATCACTCAGGTGCAAAGCACTGGCTAACATCATGGTAACGATGAAAAAACTCGCAATGGTGCAAGATCCCACAATCCAACGGGCTAAAAAGGTACGTAGAGAAAGTTGGTTTAGGCTTAGGATCGCAGGATAGGTTTAAGTGACGAAGCGAGTAAAATTTCTAGGAAACTGGCTCATCGTCGCCGGCGCCGTCTAGTCCAACACAGGCACCGGCGCCTCCACCCCCATGGTGCAAGATCCCACAATCCAACGGGCTAAAAAGGTACGTAGAGAAATTTTGTTCAGGCTTAGGATCGTAGGATAGCTTAGGAGGTAGCGAGTAAAATTTCCAGGAAACTGGCACATCTTCGCCGGCGCCGTCTAGTCCGACACAGGCACCGGCACCTCCACCCCCACCACCTCCACCGCCACCGAAAATGGATCATTCGTTGCCGAATTCATCGAAAGCTGTCTCGCAAGCAAACCAGAACCACGACACAAGGAACTCTTCAGCTCATCCTCAACAGCTCACTAATGGTTACCATCAACAGAGTAATAACATGGAAATCGCTGCACCATTCACCCCGAACATCTCACGGAATGCACCTGAGCAGCTACCGCCCATTCAGCAGCCTTCCACGGAACCATCGCCTGCTGCCGAACTTGACGTTGTCTTAGAAGAGGTATGGTACATTATGAGTTCACTTCCTGTAGTTCCTCCAATACCACTAACGTAGTCCTGGTCGCTTCCAAGAGCAGCAAAACGCCAGCAGGGGTGAAGTATTTTTATGTTTGTTGGATCACCAACAGCCCACCTTTCGTGTACTGATATCGTTCCCAGCATTCTTCAGGATGCACTTAAAGGCACAGTTCGCGATAATTCAATGGGCGGGTGTGTCAATGACGTGTCCGCCTCTCATTCGATGTCACATCAGACAGTTGACGTGACATCGAATGAGAGGCGGACACGTCATTGACATACCCGCCCATTGAATTATCGTGAACTGTCCCTTTAACAATCTGCTGAATGTAGTCTTACTTACTGGTAATCGTTTTATTCAGAATCCAACTTTGGAAGTGTTCTAATCGCTTACAAACTTTTCCAAAGTTCCCAACTACAGAGGGAATTTTTTCACTTCACTAAAATTGATGATAATTTGTAGAACCGTAGGTCTCCGGGATTCACGATTTTCTCGAACTATGTCCCTATTGATGATTTCACGCAACTTTTCCCGAACCCAAACGTTCAAAGCGAAGCGAACGGCTGTGTTGGAGAACTCGTTAATACCTAGGAACGTTTTATGAATATGACAAAGTAGGATGGCCTATACAAGCTCTGTCGGTACCTTTCCTTATGCCGAGCATCCCTTTTTGCTTTAAGTGGGTGACGTTGTACCGTTGTTTGATTCGAAGGTGTTAAAAAATTAGATGGTAATGGATTGCAGATGTCACCGACTGGAATACCACCTCGACCGCCAAGCCGTTATTCTGTTCAAGATGTCCGCATGAAATTCCAAAAGCCTCCGGAACTTCCAGAACAAATCAAAAACCTCATGGAAGAAGTCGTGCGGCGAGGTTCCCCGGCTCCCGAAGCCAATGAACGCAGGTGAACCACCAAACTTCACCTGGCCACAAAACAGTCAATCCATAAATCAAGCCAACCACCGCCGTTCGATTCTAGGTTAGAGTTGGAAGAGCGACAAGAACGTCTCGCCGAGAAGCAACGCCAGCTGTTATCCCAATTTCAACAGCTTCAACAAATGACACCGTTACCATGAGACCCACTTTCTCCTTTCTTAGGTGTTTCAGTCATCCATCTCCCTTTGCTCTTATATTTGACATTAACATATTCTCTTTATCATTAATTACTACTACTGACTATGATGCAAGGAAATTCTTGGACTTTGCTTTATTTTCGAATACTTGGAGAATATATGAAGCCAGGAAGTGCCTCACGGTCGTTTTTCATAAGTACCTACATCGATTCCCTGACTAGTGAGCTCTTGCTGGTCATTTGTAACTTCTTCTTACAATGAGTGTCATTTCAGGACAGTGTTGTTGATAAGAAAGAAAATGCACAAAAACAAATAAACGATAATTTATAAACATTTCTACATGAGAAAAGCCTAGCGGGAAAAACAATGTATTAACATAACAAGTAAAAAATCTAAATTCCAAACGGAGTTATGGACTCTGCAGCTAAAACCTATGGACAAACGGATCAGAAGGTTCGAGGAGTACCCTGAACAATTAAGTCGTCAAGATCCTTGAGCGTTCTCTCAAACTCATCGAGTTCCTTTTGGAGTTGCTTCTTCTTGAACACCGAGTAGTAGTTTACACCTGCACAATCACTTTTTTGAAATATTTCAAAAAAAAAAACAATTACTTATTGGCACTAAGCATGGCAAGCAAGTTAGAGCATTTAAAATAAGGTGAGATCCGCCATGATACAATCTGCTACACTCTCTTATTTACCTTAAGGAGTCTAACTTAGGAAGCAGTGCAGGTGTATTTTGATGGTTGGCAGATTTATAGCTGGTGTTAAAAGGTTCTTTCTTGACTGAAAAGTTTCTTGAAAAATCAAAAAGATTTTCGGAAAAAAAAATCATTCAAGAGCTGTGAAGCGTTGATGAGAGAAGGGCTGGGGGGATCTGGCAAGGGTGCGAAGCGAGAAACGAGCAGAGATAGAGACCGTGCATGTTCCATGTGTTGTCACACCTTTTTGAAATTTGGCTTTGAAGTCGAGTAACAGCTGCATTAGATGTACCAGACAGCCACTACGACGCTCCCTCTGGGAAGGATGGTAATCCCACAGGGTTTTCTCTCCCTAAAAAAATGACTGACAGACTAGGGCGGAGGTGATATAGTGGCAAGTGGCTCTATATCACACGCACGGTCAGGGGTTCGAATCCCAGACTGATGTCCGCCAAGGCCAACCAAGCTTTCCATCCTTCAAGGATCGGTGAATTGGTACCAGATTCGCCTGGGAGGATAAAAGCACCGACTTGTACATTGGCTGGCCACTGCAAGTCATTGTAAGGCTACATACGCACTCATTACGCCACTGCGATTCTGAATGAAAGTCGAGTGCGGGGGCGCATTCTTCAGACGGGATTGATTAACGCCGAAACCTTATACTTTTACCCGTTTAAAAAAATGACCCTCAATTTCCGATAAATAATTGCTCTCCGCTGGAATATTTAAACAGGCTCGGATTGGGATTAATTTTTCAGACCTCCAATCACCATTGCGTGCTCTTGGGTACGAAAGTTTTCTGAGAGAAATTGTCAACCAACACACAATAATCCTCCTGGCGAGTCTAGCAGTGTATCTCAATCAAATCATAGCAAGTTTCAGTGCACAACTGAACACATGGGACTTTTCCAAGCTCAAATGAAGCACGATCACCACTACCAAAAAAAAGTGAGGAAATGTCTCAAGAAGTTTGTAATTGTATATGAATCTGTAATTCGAAACTCCTTTATTTCGCAAGGAAGAGGCGCTTGTCCAGCCCTGTTGAAGAAAACTGCAGATTTCAAACGATAATACAACCGTAATCAGATCAAATTGTTCATAATACGCTAAATGAAAGCACGTATAAAAAAGCGCAATGCGAGAAGCCATCAGGGTTGTGTTTGGTGAACCTGAAACTTGGATGGCATCGCGAAAAGTTCTGTCCTACTTCTTGAATTCGATATATTTGCTCTCTATCTGACAACATCTAAGCTACAGGGCCAGTAGAGGCAGACAAGATTAAACCTCTCTCAACAGCAGTCTATTGCTTTGTAGTTCCCCTTTTTGCAGTAGGCAGATCGTTTCGCTCTAGACTTCATGACACACTTTTCTTCTACTGCCTAGGCTGTAATGCGAAGGCTGCGGAGGCCAAAATGAGGGAGGTAAATAACGATTTTGTCCCAAACTATGACACAGCTGTTTCTCAGGTGCTGTTCGATTCGAAGTGGATGGCTACATTCTTGAAACGAAGAAAGGTCTGCACGTCTATCTGAACTCTACCTGAGCGAACTACGGAGTGTATTGAAAACAGAACCTTTCCGACCTATGAATAAAAGATGGAGAAGCTCATGGCTCACAGCTGCGACATTGAAACTGAGTTGAGGGTACTGAAAAAGAAGAAGCTGGGCCTATTTACATCGCACCACCTCAAGCTCGTTGATCGCGATCTTATGTTTGCCTGGCTTTTCTCAATTGGCAAAAAGGAAACAAATGGCTGGTACACATCATCACTTACGACTGAAAGTGAGTCTACTACAACAAATTTCACAGGAAAACAGTGAGCCGGCACGATCGAAACGCCAAAAGGGGTTCTTCCCGCTGTTTACCCCATGAAGGTGATGCAGTAAATCTGGTGGGATGTATATGCGCAAGTAAATGAGCAACTGCTTCAAAGAGGAGTCACTATCTTTGGCAATCCCTACACGCAGCGGCTCTGGAATCTGGAACGAATCTTGACTAGCAAGAAGAATATGTTTGAAAAGTCCAAGTCCAGCGCGGCTAGACAGTACTCCCTCTTCTTTGTGGAGGACCAAACCAGGCGTTGTTTCTACCGACTACTGATTGTTCTGCTATCTAACTCGTTACTTGAAAAAGCTTCAAGTCTCGCTCAAATCCTCAATTGAGTTCATGCGTTACATCTATAAACTGCCCGAACCCTGGCAGGAATTTGCCTACACACAGATGGTGGGTATATTTGGGCAAGAACTTTCCTGCCTAATTACTATTGAAGAAGCATGCGGGAGGCCGGATCAAACATGGGCTACAAACAAAAGTGGTGAGACAAGGAGCACGAATTACAAAGGACATGTGTACACAGCGTAGCAGAACGTCGGGGGTTTGAAGATGCATCGAAACAGGCACTCCCATAGGCATAACTTCGTACTTCGGTTTCGGAACAGCTATATGACGGGGAAGAATAGGCAAAGTCGAGGAATTAAATGAGAATGAAAACGAGACTGATCTATGTAGGTAAAATTGCGTACTAAATAAATTCAGCGCTCGATTTGAAGGCAGACTGATGACCAGAAAGTTGTGGAAATGATGAATTGCACGCCAACGCTTTTCCGCGACTTTTCCATCCCGCTGTAGTCTGCCCTGGAATTGAGTACGAATTTATTCAACATAAGCCTACACCAGGCGGAGTTCTGGACAAGTTGTGACCCGACTTGGAAGGTGCTTGCTGGAAGAATTCTTAGCTCTGTTTAAAAACATTCTGGACTTTGAAATTTAAATGATGAAAGGCTATCAAAGGGAAAGGTGTCAAACGATCCCAGTAGGCCAGGTGGGCGTCAGTTTAGGGGGATCTGTGACTAGAAATTAATAACTATGTTTGAAAACATTACAGAGCGGAAAGAAAAGAATATGAACTGGTGAATGAAGACATGTCAAACGTTATGTATGTCGTGTGGAGCGGAGCTGAAATTAGAAACCCATACCAGTGGTCAAAATGTCGAGGCTCGAAAGGAGGGGTTGGATGAGTTCGAATTATCACAGAAATTCTTCACACTGTTCGGAAACGTTGTAGACTCCAGTAAAGACAGTGAATAAGAATATGAACTGGTGAATGAAGACAGTCAAATGTTATGTATGTTGTGTAGACGAAATTTTCATAGTAGACGAAGCGCGTCTGATTGAATCAAACCATTGAATATGGATGCCTGAATGCCTGGAATCGGTTGGAAGAGATTAGCGACGGAAGAAAGGACAAACGCTTTTTGCTGACAGGACGGGCAGCAAAGCGAACGTAGGTGATAATCAAGAATCTAAATAAACTTCTACGACATTCGGCTTTAAGATGATAGTCAATAAAGACTGTCGGAAGGATAGTGTTAAAAACCTCGTTTTATTTGCCCAACCATGTAACTAGAAGTAATGTAGAGTTCCAAAATTACGAGGCATCTGAGAAGACAGCAGATATCGTGCAAACTATCAAAATGGCATACTTCAGAGAGACTTCTAGGAAAGGAGGTTTACAGATGATTCAGTTCAGATCGGGAAAACGATCAAAAGCGTTGCAATATACGATGTACTTGCAATTGTTTCGATGGAAACTTCAGAAAGAGTGAAAATAAGATTACTGATCAAAACCGTCGATTTCCTTCCAGATACGCATTAGCATACGATAGCCGAGCTACATGGTGAGAGGATCGATAATTGAAGAGCAAATTTGAGAACGACCCACTATAACAGTAATTAGATAGTATAGCAAGAAAGTATAGCTGCTCCAGTTTGTGAAATAGAATGTATTTCGATCGCAGAGAACGGGTTACCGAAATTGACAACGCCTGACAAAGATCTTGGTTTTCCAGATTATAACCCTTTTGTTATACATATACAATGAAACCATGACATTTGGCCACATTTTATAGGACAAGACGGGATCACAGAGAAGGTTGACAAAGTGAGTGATTAGCGCAGGGATAAAGACCCATCAAAATCAATACCGTATGATTGCTATTAGATTACCATTACGCCTCAAAACCAAAGGGATAGTGAACCACGTAATCACTTTGTTCCACTATCAGCTGCTACAGAATTTTTTGACTACCAGTAATCAAAGAATCACGACCAGTGATTTATATACATGAAGATAAGAAGGGCCATGTAAATATAATAAAAATCCTGATTGTATCATCACCAATCGATTAGGAAGTTCATTCATGGCTCAGCTGCAGAAACGCCGGTGCGTCAGTAAAGCCAATACAGGGAAGAATCAAATACTCTGTGGATGAATGTTGTTAAGTCCGGGGGCAACACATGGATATTTCGAGCTATATCCGTATGCACCCCATGTAAAATCTGAAGTGCTTACACTTTGGGAGGATTACCTTTCAGAAATTATAAATGAACCAATAGTTCCCTAAATAGGAATAGAGACAAGCTATTAGTCGTCTACTGTTCCTTTCGTTGCTTCAGGGCGATACCGTAAACATAACCGGTGAAATCAACACAATCAAGAAAAATCCGCCTAATTTGCGAAGTAATAAAAAAAAAGGGACCGAACATTCCAGCTAATACCTAGGAGCCTAATTACTGAATCACGAAATCTGAACATCATGAAACCACAAAAACCTGCGAACCTAGCATGACAATAATGAGATTGGCTCTCTATGTTTAAATACTTGGTTTTGCAATGCGAACTGAAAAGTCGTCACGGGAAGCTACAGTGCTCGAAAATTTTAGAACTTTCGGATATGATGCAGGAAGAGAACATTGACGGTTGATGGCCCAACTGAATTGCGCCCGTAGGCGGCGGGGCTGCGTGGAATTGTTCCCCTAAACCTAAGGTGTTAAATAGGATAGTAGAGGCGGCAGAATGGGAACATTGGTGGTATAAGGCAAGGCTAAACGCCGCCCATGAGTTTGGAGAGTGTGCGAAATAAGTGCATAGTAGAAATGAGCAGCTAAAATGGATCAAGTAGAGGATGGGCCAGGTTCTTCAAAATTGAAAGTCCTATTTAACAGCGTTTCAGACTGTGCATCGTTTCTTCGTAGCCTCGTTCCCGCTAGACGCCAAGTATGTAAACTCTCCAAAGAATTGTGGTGGGAGTGCAGGTAAATGCAGCAATCGACAATGGTCGAAGATTTTCATGAATGTTGACTTGTACCACTCGATTTAGAGCTACTGACCCAATCTGCGAAGACTGTAGCATTCATAATAGAGCGTGTACACATGTTTGGCTGTTTCAGAATTCAACGACGTAACCGACTACCGACCAACTGATCTAACGATCGACGGCAGCACTGGCCACGTGTTGACAACACTGGACATCGATGGATCATGTGGCCCTGCAAGCTGTTCAGCGCTGTCAGGCGTAGCCAGCGCCGTCGTCGATTAGTAAGTCGGTGGAAGGCTTTGAAAGAACTCTTCGAAACCTAATCCCTAATAGGCTGATCGTTCTGGTCATTCAGCGAGCGACTTGATAATACGATCCGACGCCTGCATCGACGTTTAACCATCGCAAAATAACATTCTCACGTAAGAGGCACATTCGGAGACCAAAATGTTATGTTCTCAAAGATATGCCGACGATAATTCTATCGTAGGAAAACCATGACAGTGTGATTCTACAATTCAAGGACGGTGCAACAGGTCTAAGGCAGCTATACGCAATCCTCACAGCCTGACAAAAGCAGAAGTCACGTCTATATACGTGGCAATCATGGTGGCAGAACATTGGCTTGGGCTGATTGTAAAAAAGAACATGTTTCTCAGCTTGGTATCGTACGCAGAGCCACTCGTAGATGGCTTCGAAGAAGTCATTAGAAAAGTGCAGGCTTCGGATATCTGGAGTGATCTGTGAGTCGGCCGTAGCGTTTACCAGGCTGCGAAAGTTTTGACAAATACTGTATGAGTGTAATGGACGTCATTCTCCAGCGGTGTTTCAGGAATCTCAGAGGGCTGTGCAGAGCAAAGATGGGTTTCATAATGCTGTACGGAAGCGACTGCCGGCGCGTAGGCAAGAACAATGAAGGGCAACATCAACAGAAATGAGAAATTCAAGATGGCCTTGCGGTTGGAAGGGAGTGAACCTGATCAGAAACGAAGAAATTAGGACAGAAAGGCAGACAGTAACGCAACCAACCAGCCCAGCTCCTGGTGGGGGAGCAGTGCCTCCGATGGTATGGGCACGTATTGAAAGGAACAACGGATCACCCGATAAGGGAAGCAACGGAATTGGAAGCTCAAAGGAAACGATCACGGGTTGCCTAAAAAAGAGGTGGTGGCACGCGACCAAGAAAAATCTCAATGAAACCCAGCTAAAGGCAGTAGATTTCATTCATCGAATTTTTTAGTAGCACTGTGACACACATTAATGAAATGAAAAAGAGTGTGACCGATAAAGCTAACAAACTAGCCCTCAAAACAGCAAAGTTCATGCAAAAAGTTTACCATCCTCTTCATCATAATTTGATTACAACATGGTGTATGCCTTCAATCAAAAATCTGGAAGAGATGATGAAATAGCGCAATGGAACTGCGCATCAATTGAAGTCAAAAGAAAACGTGTCGCTCACACTACGGTTCTTTGGTACATCCATTTATTACCGCATCGTCCAAGAAATAGGGATATTGTCACTGAAGATGAGCAACCAATATCTTTGATATTCCGACAGCCTCCCACCATATGATGCTTGCTTGCTACTGCTTGCTCGCCCGTAGTATTGTGAATTATTAATCTTCATGTCGATGGTAAAGTCGGTGTGAAAGGGCAAGGTATCAGAGCAAGAGGTAAGTCAGACGAAATATGGGGTGTACAGAGTCGAAAGTTTTTCTACTCAGGTTTTATATCGCATAAGTATCAAAGCTTCGACACAGAAGAATGGGCGAGCACGAGTCCTGCTTAGTCTCGACTTTGAAAATTAATTTGCGATATAATGTCCTACTCAGGCTTTCGCGGGGAACACCGTCCGCACGTCATATCACAATTCTTCACCACAGAGTAGCGGATACTTTTGGAAGGAAATATGTTGTATAAGAACATAAATAGTATCCTAACTAGTGATTGAGAAAAATGAAAGTAAAACGACAAGCACTTCGATCAACAAGAAGAAGGAAATGAAAGGTACAATAAGAAAGATAGCTAGATGATAAGACAATGCGAAACTAAACGTGACAACTAGGAACGGTGTTAGTCGTTGCGTACATGCACCGTAGTGACATTAGCGTTATCTACTTTCGATTCACAATTATGAAGCTCCGTACAGATCAGTGTTGATCATTAGTTGTGGCTCAAATATATTCGTGCCTTATTTGAACAGCTGAACTGAAGAAGGGCTGACGCGCGAAGAGTTGTGAAAAAGAAGAAAAATCTATTTTATTTTCATTTCACGCACAAGGAACCTAAGGCGAAGAATGAGTGACTGTGGGTCCGCAATGAGAAAGATCAATAAGTTGGCATTTGTAGACAAAAATTCTTAGGCTTCGCTGAGAACCTAACCCATTGCGCAAGTGCTGATGGCAGACTATGCTTTTCTCGTTCGAACATTAAGACTGTGAACTAACTGGAATAAGTGATTCACCTCTAAACACCTGCACTCCTCTTTGTTTCGATATTATATTTGAAGACCAGAGATATTTTCGATGAAAGCATCCAAAAAATCTCGTTTTCAGACAATTCAAGAATTCGAATTCAAGTGAAAAGAATCAGAAAAGCAGGAAACAATGTCCCACTCACCTCTAAAAGAAAAATAAATCTTGAAGAGTTCGAAGCCTGCGCCAGATGCGAACCCAATGAGAAACAGACCTTCCCATCGCGAGACCAAAGAAGACATAACATGGGAAAAGCTCATCTGAAAATATTGGCTTTTTGTAAGGGATCACTTCACTCCTCTCTTTGAAGAAGTCATCTCCGCACTGCTACACATTCCAACCACAAATTTTGGTGCTATATAAATTGTGAAACAATGCCTACATACAGTTAGGGAACCAGAGAGACGGACAAACAAACAAACAAACAAACAGACAAGTTTGAATTATGGCACTCCAATTCGATTCCAAAATGGATTATAGTACTACCACAAGAAACCTCAACATTTAGATTTGAAATTGACAGTGAAGTATGACCAGTTTCAGACTATGGACGAGGTGTGCCGCAAATTATGAGCAGTTCTTGCAATTATCGCTTAGCCACAACTATGTTTATGCCACGAAACTAATAGTTACCGCACAAAAGAAAGCAAATCGACGCTGCATTCTAGGCAACACAATATATTCACTTTTAACACCAGGATTTGGTGTTACATGTAAGTATAATGTGGTATATAGCACAGAACGACGTATGTCTTTCGTTAGTTGCAGTAGTCCATTAGAAACGCCCGAGTTTTTGAATTCAACAACATAGCGCGAGGATGCGATGAATTCCTCCATTTCAACCCTCCGAATTCACCTTGGAAATCTAATGTTTCAAATAGGTTTCGCCTTTTTGCTAGACTGTCCGTCTCTCTGGCTATTTGGCTGCATTTATACAGCGTTACATATTTGATAGATACCAATTTCAATTTTTTTGGTGATTGACGGATCATCATTTCAGACGGTACAAGAATGTTAAGAAGGAGTTTGCCATAATGATAACAATTCCCTCAAACAAATCGTACAATAGCGATCAATATCGATTTCTACTAAGCGTTCGGCTATTCGTCACTCACCTTTTTGGAGGAGTTGTCTTGCTGTTATAATAGCCTTCTATCGTAATCAGCAGCCACCTAATGATTGAAAAATAACCAGCTTATAATGGACTTACTGCCTTTAAGGATCACGTCGTAACACCGTCAACCCCGTGTGTGTTTTAACAATTTTACTTGAAAGCGATTCAAGGAAAAGTACTTGGCTATCAACAGCCAAACAAAATTAATAGTTACGGTCAAGAAACAAACTTGGATGAAATTAGCTGTTTTGCAATGCCATCGAAAAAATCGAGACTTACTTTAAATTAACTTTGAAACCAGCGCGATCTGCCTCAATGAGTTCCCGTTCCAAAAGCTCACGTTCCTCTTGTCGAAGCGGCCTCACAAACTTATAGTAAATTCCCGTATTGACGATACAGTACGAAGTACTGAACAGGATAAATCCGAGAATTGAGCGAACGAAAGCTGAAAAGAGCATGACTAAGCAAACACTTGAGTGGCTACACTTTTGTTAAATATATCCAAATAACGCAGACACTAATTATTCGAATAAATGCTACCCATGTAGAATGAAAAAGAAAATGGGTAGGAATCCTTTTTAAGTTCTTGGGTCAATCAAAGATCGTCGTACTAGCCTCGCCCATTCCCACATCGGGTCTGCTCACCGCTCATGATTCCCACTTCCCCTCCCCATTCCAAACCCAATGCCCAAACTGTTCACAATGATAGATTTTTTCCGAATAGAATAGCATTTAAAGAAGAGTTTTCACGTCGGTGTAGGTTATATTTCTTCTACCGATGTCATTCGACCTGAGATAACGAATATAAAAACACTCAACTTCGAAAAGGACAGTATGTCGTTTTCACCACATATGAAAATAGACTCATGAACGACTATGTGTCAAGTGGGAACCATGGCAGGGGTGAACAGTTAAAGAATAAAGTGTTGGGACGTTGATCAATTCCGTCTGAGGGATGCGCCAACGCTTTCGAGTTACTTTCAGAATCGTAGTGGCATATTGAATGTGTTATAGAGAGGTAATAAGACCTGGTAGCAATGAAAAGTCAGNTATGATCGCTAAAGGAGAAAAAATAGAGCAGGAACAAACATGCAGAAACGTTCGCGTAAAGAAGATAAGGGACAGCAACACCGTGCGCTATTCAAAAGAAAAAAGAAGTCGTACGTGAATTCAATTCACTCTTAACCAAGGAGGGAACTTCCTTGACAGTTAAAGCAAGGTGTTACAACTTATGAAAAAGTTATCTAGCTACAACTCCGTTGATCGAAAATATCGGGCATCAACTCCAGTAAAATCTGCTTTCTGAGGAGAAACCTACTTTTATGGATAATATCGAGGCGGCGATTCGTGAGAATGCGTCTGTACAGAGGTCTTCGATCTTCTCTTTTCCTTGCCACCCAGCGCACTGACGACAATAGCATATACTGAAAGAAAACCACTGAATAGTAAACGTTTTTCAATATCAGTCCATATGACAAGTATTTCCCCAGAAAAATAGCAAATCAAAATACTCCTTACAATCTAGAATCAAATCAACTCAAGCGAGAGGGAAGTTCTGCTTTTCTCTAACCACTACCGCATGAAACCTAGAAGCTGATGTTTCTTAATTATGAAAGACTGAACTATCATGTTTTTCATAACACTGCACTGATGATCCAGCCTTGAACGTAAAATAAAATGTGACATTACAAATGCGGACAGTACAGTTCACTTAACGATTCACCGGGTTTGGAGCTGTCATTTTCCTTATCGCTTCACTATTTATCATCTCTTCTTCTGCTTTATATGAGCAAGGCATTCAGCGAGTGAACTAATGTCAAATCTAGGAATAATTAGTTAGATAGGTGGATGGGAATTTCCTCCTTACGACCATTCGTGGCTCATTCATTTTTAATGCCTAGTACAAATGAGCAGGCCACGATTTAAGGTCGAGAGACGTTTTGGTTCTGGTTGTTCAAAGAATGAGGTTCATACTGGCTTCACGTTCAGCCTTCGTAACTGTGCCGTGCTTGCTCCAATGGAAAGCTACAAGTGAAGCCAGTTTTCTGTTGCGATGTGGTGTGAGGCCATCTGCTTACAATTAGACTTCCTCGTACGGCGGGAAATGGTAACTTGCAATTCGATTTCTTTCTTTTTGAATATTGACTGAGTAATCGAAACCTTTCTGTCATTTTCTAAGGGAATGATATTATTAGCCCTTCATCAAGACCGAACACTATACCACTTGTAGTAACGCCGGCAACGGTTTGGTTGCATTCATAGTTCAGAAGTCGACGTAAATGCGTCGTAGTTTTCGTGGGCCACAAGTTCGCTTCCCATATAACACTCCTTCAGTGAAAAGTGTACTTGGGGATGGGTACACAGCAGTGTTTGTATAACAGGGAACTATATCAGTTTTACACGTTAGTCCATGTTATACCACTGACATGCAGTTTTTCAACTAACTAAGCCTTAATAGGAAAAGAGCACCGGGGCGGGCAAGTTTTCAGCTTTTCGCACAAGGGAATCATCTCACCCACCTCGGTGCTCCTACCTGTTGAGGCTTAGTTACAAAACTACGTCCTCTGGCTAAGAACGCATAAAACATCCTCTTTTTCGTCTCTTTCTGCTTTCATACTTCGACGTGCGTGTCGGCACGCAGGTGGAAACGCAGGTACATTCTGCGTTCGGCGTGCGAGCGGCTATGCAACGGCGACGCTATGGCCTCTTTCAGAATTCGACGACCGTCCGCGTGCGTGTCGCGACGGCGGTTCTGGAAGGATGTTGACAGCGTCTGATCGGTATTCGGCGCTGTCAACACCGTTCTAGAGCCGCGCTGGCGGCACGCACGCGACCGCCGTCGCGCGCGCGTTGAACGGAAGGACGGATGAATCGTTGAAGCCTGAAAGAAGCCTGTCCAAGTGTGTGACAGCAGTGGCACGTGATCCATCGGCGTCCATTGTTGTCAACACCTCTCTAGCGCCGCTGCCACATAGCCGCTCGCATGCCGCACGCAAGATTGCACCTGCGTTTCCACCTGGGTGCCGGCACTCACGTCGAAGTATGAAAGCAGCCTTTGATTAGTGCTAATAAAACGCGGATTAATACGTAGCACCGCGTTAGTTTCTTGTTGAACTAACACTGTTATGCGTGCCCTGCCCCTCCCTCGCTTCATTTTCAACCTTCGTTCCTTTTCAATTCGGTGTTTATGGTTATTGTTAATGAATTCTAATTTTTTCGCTAGTGTGAGGGAACCATCACGCTTTCCCTTGATAGACGTTTGGGACACCCCAAATACATTTGAAGGTCCCCAATAAGTCTGCTGCTTTGCTTTTCCTCTTATCACTTCCTTTTACCTGATTCTTCGCAGTATGGCTGAATTATGCTTCTTTCTGTCCTTGCGGAACAGAACAGAGTACCTGGAAACCATCATGACCCAATAAATATTGTGTTGGAGATCCTCTTGTCGGGTTAATTGGTGCGGCCACCCACATACGACGTGGGCATTGGCAAGTCAATCAGGAATCTGAAGGCTGCCTATTTGACTGAAAATGAATCTATTAGTGCCTGCCTGCGTCTCCTTACTGGGGAGCGTCTCTTGTTGTTTAATAGTGTAGTAGGAACTGGCATATTCTAGGGTAAAACGTTGAATGTTGAGCGCGTAGGGTTGAGCGTTACCGGTCCTCTGCTGGCAACACCGTCGTCGATCGATACTGCACGGGTCGGCGATGAACAATGTTTTGATCGAGTTTTTAACGGTTTCATTTTTTTTGAATACAGTTTTTATTTTTTTTTCTTTTACTATTATGGTATGGTGTGGCGATAGTATATCGTTATGAAGAAGCTCTACGCAGCTCTGCTTGGAAAATAGCATGCGCCGAACACGGTCAGGCGGCGCAAGCATTAACGCGGCTGTAACGCTCCGCGCTCGACGCTCATCGCTGTACTCTGGAAGGGCTCTGGTCGTCTAATTTTCGTAATTATACGCCTTCTTACGGAAGGAGGGTCTAGTCTCTGTAGACATAAATCGATGCGAGTTGTGTAGTTTTTGATAGGGCTGCAGTTAATTGGATGTTGAAGTATTGATTGCAGCAGTGAATAGAGCTAATTACCAGTGCGTAGAATAAATTCAAAATAACCGACTCGGATTTGAGTCATAAAGGACGTAGATGGTCCTATGCAAACAACACACTGTCTTGACGATAGGACGCAAACGAGGTGCATCGGTGCTGCAGCAGCTCTGCACATCTCCTACTGCCTCAGTACCTCATTTCCTAATTCCATTATTTTCTACGTGAAAAAAACTCAACGTGCCTTATTCTACTTCATTTTGCTTCTTCTACAAGCAGATCTCGTTTTTCTCAATGACACGATCTGAGTTGCAGTCAAGTACGGTGAAATCTCAACTAACTCGTACCGTAGAACCCTCGCGCGGTTCAAACGCGTCTACCCCGAAATCGCAGAGGGCTGACAGCGCGCTATGTGTGCGGTGTGACCGGGTAACGGAACTTTCCCCCGATTGCGGCATTCTCCCTTGCGGCATGCGGCAAATGTCTCTGCAATTACCGACGCACCCCGCCCCCCGCCAATCGATAGGACGCGAGATTTTTCGTTGGTTGCCTTTCTTCTTTATTGGTTTTGATCGTTTTTTATCTTTCTTTTTCTTGTTTTTTATGTATATTAGACTTGTTTAATTAGAATGACTTCCTATATTAGCGGCGANCAATACCGCATTGGAATTGAAGGGAGCGGTCAGCCGATTCAAGTAATTAAAGGACTCCCTACCTCACAAATTGTGCGCTCCATTCTTCCATCGCAATCCTGCGATACGCGGCGGGTGCGGCGTGCGCGACGGGGAAATGTTCCCGGACCCGGTGTGACCTACATATCGACGATAGTAACGGACGTTCCCTCGAGCAAACGAGAGGAAATTGAGCATACTGCGCTCGTTCATGCTGCGCATTTATGCTCTGTGTTGCATGGGTGGGAACGACGCGACAGCGTGTCATACTCGTTTCAGATTTCTCGGCTTTTTACTAAGAATGGATCACTGCTCCAACCTTGAAAACTCAGTGGAATGTATTGTCTACAGCTCTGCTTGTGATGTGCCCCTTTTCGGTTGCTATCACATTTCTTGTCACTCAACGAACCATTTTATGGACATACTGTTGGCATTAATCAGGTATTTTTTCCAAAAACGCATCCCACGTTTGACGGTGAGCAGTGGAAGAAAGGAGGGGAGTAAAAGGCAGTCATCTGCTCATGTCCCCATCAGGAAATTTTATGTCAGAATGAATTAAATAAACCTACTTTGCTCGTCGCATCTCGAAACATTTGCATGAATTTTATCTGAGCAGACCCTCAGCTCCTGCAAGCCTGCTACGATTTTAGAAGGAATTTGACATTCTTTTTCTAGATTAAAATCGAGTAGTCCATGATCTTCTACTGAAGTCTCCAAGTTCGAACAAGTGCTACGCGTTGATTGTGGTGGGTGCAGGTATTAGAATCGTTAGGCCCAACTCAAATTCATGGAGCCAAAGCTGGAGACCTAATACAATAATCAACTGAGGGCAGGGGTCGTGCTTTCAACTGCTTATGTCGTTGTGGTGATCCGCCTACAGTAATGGGTGCTGCTGCATGTTGATGAGTAACTCGCAGTCCCAATAAGTAAAAAAAA